GACACTGTTACGTCGTTATATCTGCAGAAATTCCATGATATTCCGGAGTATTTAGTCGTGTATGTTTCTTTTTCATCCCTGAAAATTTATTTTTATTCCGTGCAAAATTATATTTTTGATTTTTCGATTTGTGATTTTAGCTTTATATTCCGAGTCGTGTGAATTTCTTGACGTATTTTATTTTGGGCGTTCAGTTTTATATCCGTCGATTTGGTGCTTCTTGCTTTTCCAGGTACTCCTGGAATTTATTTCGGACGTCCGTGTGCCTGCAGTTTCGAATAAACGCAAGTATCGTGGCGCGGGTTATCCTCCATGGGTAATCCATGAGTCGGAGTTCCCGTCCGAACAGGTCAACCACGGGCGGTAGATCCGTCATCTCATATGTGTTAGCTACCATTCGATGAAAAGTTCCGATAATCGTCAAGGTCTTCGTTCTCTCAGAACCCGCACTCCTGAAGTGACGCAACGTCATGAGAGAGAGAGAGAGAGAGAGAGAGAGAGAGAGAGAGAGAGAGAGAGAGAGGTTGAATGGCAAAATTGACATATGGGTCAAATTGCGGCCGAAATCTATTTCGCAATTGGAATGATTTTTTAAAATTTATGTAGCGTTTGTCCTGGAAAGATCACAACAAAATTTACGAGTACTCCAATTTTCAGGTTTTTTCACACATTCTTCTGAGCGCAAAAACTCACTGAATTTGGAGTACTTTTTTAGTTGGCCCAGGTATGGCTGAGTGGCAAAAATGGAAAATGTGTTGAATCGGCGCGACAATTATTTTGCAGTCTAAATCATTTTTTGTAAATGTTCTATTATTATTTTTGGAAAGAACATGATGCAATGAGCCCAGATGTGATGATGCTCGTCAACATTACCAATCCATATGATTATCGATCTGCTGATGAATGACAAACAATCGCAAATGTTTGTGATGATAGAATGAGGTGAGAATCATACACACACGAAGGAGGAGAGAGGGAGAATAGACAAATGAAAGAGAAGAAGACAACAGCCCAGTTCAACTTCGGGTTCCTCCTCCTCCTCGCCACCTCATCAATCAATAGACTGAATACAATGTCTGAAGTTCTTCCTCAAGGTGCCACGTGGCACGTCAATCTATCTACATCAGCAAATGGAGAGTATCATCATCAACCAGGTACGTATCCTCGATAACCACAGTCTTGATCCCCTTCCGAAGTAACGAAGAATTAGAACAGCCTCATCAATCTCGCAGCCCGCCACGCAATCAATCATATACAGGTGGCAGCGGCCACGTCAGCAACGGCGCGTGGCAGCTGCCACGTCAGCATGCCCAGAAGACCATCGCCAGCCAGCACCATGCCAGCCAGCAGCGCCTTGCCGTCCTCCTCTGCCATCATAGAGCCGGCGTCAAGATAATGTCGCAATGTCGCAGCATAGCAACAGCGTCAAAGTCCACGCGTGAAGTCAGCATTCACGCAAGACTGAATGTCCTCCAGCCAGGAAGTCAACTCTTAAATAGCATGAATGCGGGGTCTGGACCCCGAGTGCTGAAGTACTGCACAGTCCAAATCTCGATGAAAGTGAGGGCCCAGATTGGCCAAAAACTGTATTCCTCCCGGCCTGAATGCTGTCTGGGTACGTGCACACAACAAGTGAATGTATCCGGCCATAGGTCTGGGCGCGGTACCTTTGACTCTACAGTTGACTTGGACTGTTGAATTTCCTTTGTGCTGCGTTTGCTCACACAGCCTCCTCGACAGACTCAGGCTGGGCATGTCTCGGTCACATAGCCCAGCACAGACAACTGAGTCTGTGCTTTACCGGGGGCAACGTTCTGAGCCCCGGTCTGCTGCTGAACATGGTTACTGCAACGACCTCATCTATGGATTCTCAAAATTTCAGATTTTT